CCTAACCCTATTCTAACCCTACTAGCTCTATTTTAGGGCTAGTAGGGTTAAAATAAGATTAGAGCCTCTAACCCTATTCGAACCCTATTTTAACCCTAACCCTATCTAAACTAAACTAATCTAACCTTAACCTTATCTAACCTAATCTAACCCTATAACCCTATCTAATATAACCTAACCTAACTCTATTCATTAGCAAGATGAATGCTAACAAACCAGAAGTATTATAGACGCAATGCATTTTCTACCTGAAAAGTGCTTTATATAGTGTTCGACTATGTGCTATGTGAACTATGGAGTTATATGACAAAATGAATATATAGATCATATTGATCCAGTCTTTTTATTGAAGTTGATTATAGTAAAACCTCTATAAGTGCACTTTCTATAAGTGCATACCCTCTCTACATGCACACATAGCCTGTTCCAAGCTCAGGACTTAAACACTCTCTATGTTTTGCACATACAATGATTTTGGGTTCTATGTATATTAAAAATTTCTCTATAAATGCATCACATAATAATTATATTATAATGGCTAATTAGAAGTCTTAAAATTAAATAAAATTTACGAATTTAATGTTCTCAAATAAATATTTTAATGTTCTTGAGAATATTAAAGAAATGAGTATTGCCAAAAGAAAACCTGGCAATTTAAATATAGTCTATATTTAAATTATCAGGTTTTCTTTTGGCGACACTTAAATATTGAATGGTCGAAGGTTAATTATATAGTATATATATTAATATTATAGTCCTGTAATGATCCATGCTAAATTTATTAGCTAATTTCTAAATGCATACTCTCTCTAAATGCACATGCATGCCCAATCCCGAGGATGTGCACTTATAGAGGTTTTACTGTATCTTGATCCCAAAGCAATTTAGTGAAACTATGACCCATAGTCTGATTAAGTTGCTCGATTTGTCCTTGTGACTGTGGGTGCTGGAGTTGACTGTGTCCTATTGTAATATTCAGGGCCCTACAAATTTTTGTAGTTAAATTTGCAACAAATTCCTTACCATTGTCACTTTGAAGGACCACAGGAGGCCTAAAGATCTTGAAAACATCCTTAAAAAGGTGTGCTGCAACTATCTTTGCTTTCTTATTTTTAATTAGAACTGCAATGAGAAATTTAGAAAACACACAGATACAAGTAAGCAGCCACAAAAAATCATTGTTCTTTTTAGCAAAATTGCAAAAATTAACCAAGTCGATTTGAATATACTGCCAAGGACCCATCGACACCACAGATATTATGTCAGTTTTTTCTTTAATGGATATATTTACAGCATAGGCAGGACATTTATTTACGTATTCTTTTACCTCTTCCTGTGTGATTCCAGTATGTTTTTTTGAAATCGCAAAAAAAGTTTTGAGTAATTGGCCTGATTATGGAAGTGTTGCAAAATTATAGCATGCATCTCTATATTATATTTGAAATTATATTGTGTTTTCCTGATTTGACTGCACTATTCTTTACGACCAGCTTAACATAAAGAATTTCATTTTTTGTTGACTTCAAATTTTTTGCAGTGGTGAATGAAGTTAGATCTTGCAGTGCTTATAACAGGGCTCTTTTGAATGCTATTCAGAACAGTTCCTAACTGCAAATATTCGACTATCATCTGATACTCCTCTACTGTTTCGGGGATTTTGAGAATTGCCGACATGTTAAAAAAAAAAAAAACTTTGATGAAACTTAAAGGTTTTTTTTTTTGTATGGGTATCTATTGCTTCTTGAGTGGGTAGTTAGGCTTGAACTTTTTTTAGGTGGTGAGTATTGCTTTTCCTGTGGTAAGTGTTTCACTTTTGTTGAATAAAGTGTTTTTTTTTTTTTAATAACGATTGTATTTTTTTGATAATTGTTTTTTTTCTTTGATTATCATGTTACATGATATAATATTTGGAAACTGTTAAATATGATGTACATTTACAAATCACATGGATTTTATCATCATCCGATTTCAGCATCATCTGTAATATATAATATATTATAGAGCTAATGTAAAGGCCCAATAGGGCCCAATCTTAGTTTTTATAAAATTTTTGGAGATCCTAAACATTTTTACTTAGAAGACCTAATCCTATTTACTTAGTATGTTTTTGAGAAACAGGACCTATAGTGTAAAAACACTATAGGTGTGTTTTAGTAAAAGTGTCTCGTAATATATAAAAAAAGATAAAGTAAAAAATAAATAAGAAGACTACTTGTAAATGCAACAAAGCTTATAAAATAGCATATAAGTTGAATTTTTAGAAAGTTTTACAAGTTTTCTTATTATGTTCTAAAAGTAAGTATAAAAATTCTTGTTAATGTTACTATATAAATTGATTTGTATAACATATTCCTAACTGCTATAGTTAATAAAATGATTTAATTGGTTTAAAAATTAAAAAATAAATTGTTTAATTTCATCAAAAAAAACTTGGATTTAACAAATATATTTTTTTTATAGAGTTACTCTTATTGGTTAATCTTTAGTATAACTAGACAATGTAGAATTATTATAAATTGTAATATAAATAAATAACTATTTAATCTAATTTAAGCAAATTTTGAAATAGTTGGAGTAAGATTATAGTTTATATTAAAGTTAGATTAGAGTTAGGTTAAAGTTTTTATATTATAATTTTAAAAATATTTTTATATTGCCTAGCTATACTAAAGAGGCTAACAAATATTAGCTCATTATACCCCCAGAATTTTTACTTAGTTCTACCAAGAGTTAGTCATTTGACACAATGAAATTTACAAAAAATATATAATTGGGTTTTTGACAGTTTGCATTGTCAACTATCAAAAACCTAATTATGCATTTTTTGTAAATTTTATTGTGTCAAATAGCTGACTCTTAGTGGACTAAGTAAAAATTCTAGGGGGTATAATAAGCTAATATTTGTTAGCTCTTTAAAAAAATCTTTCTTATTAACTAAAATTTAAAATCATCATAAAGATTATTTCAATTAATCTCGATTAATCAAAATAATTGTCATGGCTGATGCTAAAGTTGGCTGATGCTGAATTTTAGGGGCCCCATTTAAATCTACAATACCTACTAAAATTCATATATACTTTTTTACTAATAACACTAACCCTAAACCCTAACCTAATCCTAAAAAAAAACCCCTAACAAAAGGCCCTCAAAAATTTTAAATCTTCATAATAAAATAAATCGAAACTTCAGCTTCAGCCAACTTTAGTATCAGCCATGACAATAATTAAGCAGCATCTCAATTACTAGCAAATCTTATTAAGGGAGTTACCTAAAAACAATCTAAAACTGCTTACTAATAAATATAAAAAGAAATTGTAGGTACTTTGCTTTACTTTATAAATTTTTACTAAATTATAATCATCAAAAAATTATATATTCAAAACTCTTATCACTAATAAAAAATTTCAGAAAACTCAAAAAGCAAAATTTGCCAACAATTATTATCTTCTAACTTATGCTAAAAAAATTATTAATTGATAGTTCATGAATAAATGAGAATAGCAATAGGGGAGATTTTATAATAAAATATAGTAATACAAAAATCACTTTTCTTATATAAATATACTGTATGTGATTTTAAATTTAAATTGCTTGTAACTTTTGATATACTAAACCAATTTTATTGATCTTACTACCATTAGAATCACAAAAACTAGCTCTACAACCTTTATTAGAAGCTTATAAGAAGTTAACTTAATAAAAAATAAAAAATCAACTTTATATTGTAGGAAAGAATGATTTTTGTATTTTAATATATATATATGTTGTTACAAAAATTTACTATTAGTGTTCTGCAAACTATCAATTAATTTTTTATTTTTTAAAAAAATTTTAATTTGGAAATTCGTGAGAGATGTACAGAGTTTCTATATATAGAAATGGAGATTAATACCCATAATCTGAAGCCGGAATTAACTTCCCCCACTTCTTGTCAAGTTAACATCTTTTGTGTTTCTAACAAAACCTGTAGATGCTTAAAACATAAAAATTGGCAAAATGGATCGTGAGATACCCTTATTTTTGCCTTTGTGGTTATATGAAATTTCTTTGCAGATCTGCGAAGGAAATTTCATATTATTATGAAGACAAAAATCATGATCTATTAGGTCGATTTTTATGATTTTACTACCATTAGAAAGAGAAAAATTGCCTCTAACAAGTTTTGTTAGAATCACAAAAGATGTTGACTTGACAGGAATTGAAAAATTTCAATTCCGGCTCCAGATTATGGGTATTAATTGTTTTATTATATTTAACATCCCCTCATGTATATATAGTATTACTATAGTAATTCTTTCTATCTCTCACTAATTACTAATTATTTTCGGCATTGGTTTTGTTCGAAGCTAAAGGCGCAAAAAGCTGTGAATATTGTTGCTGTAACAACATATGAATATTTCATAAAGTCTATAAAAGGAGAAGGAGAGGCACTTAGTGTTGCCGAAGGACATTTGTTAGTCGGATAGCCACCCTTTTTTTTTTTTTTTTTGCTACGATTTTGCTGAAGACATAACGATAATAGAATAAACCAAGGATGGTTTACTCAAGCAACGATTGCAATCATTATTTCTATCAAATGTAATAATTAGGCATCATCTCGATCATTATCAAATCACATTGAGGGAGTAGCTTGAGAACTCTTAGTTAGAAATCTAGTTAGAGATTTAGTTAGCGATCTAGAGATACCCGGTTCATTTTACATAAATTTAGCATCATTAAACTGTAGCAAAATTCGTATAGATCAATTTTTTGTTAAAATAAAAGGTGGCTTCATAAGTAAAATTGAAAGATACAGGCTTCTTTTTTTTTTAAAAAAAAAAAGGTCGTTTATTATCTAAAAACATAATAACCGACACTAATAAATAACAATAATCATTTAAAAACAGCAAGAGTGTGGTTTCCATCGTTATATATCAATATTATCCTACGTTATCAGAGATAAACCAAAGGTAAACCAGAGATAAAATTACAAAAAATGAATAATAAAGAAATCAATAGACTTACGAATTATCAGCTTCGATCTTTGTAGTTGGTGCTTGTGAATTTGGGTCATCACTTAGGGCTTTCGCATGTGTAGCAATTGCTGTGACAAATCCAGCACAATTTGGGTTCGCTATTCCTCGAGCTTCACAAATTTATATATAAAAAAAATTTTTTTTTATTCATTTTTATTAATTAAATTAATAAATTAATAAATATAAAAGTATGTTGATCTTAAATTTACCTCCAATGCATAAACCATGTGCATCCGCTACCAAAACTCCTTTAACACCTTCCGTCTTGATTCTATTTATTGTTTTAAATATTTTAATCGATTAAATAATAATAATACATCATTTGTCATTCTTTACGTAATAATAAAAAAAAATAATAATAATTAAGAAATGACTTTTTAAATTACAGTGATTCCAAAACTGTGTCAATTGCGGATTCCATCTCTGAAAAGGACAGATTATTATTGTGAATTTTTAAGGATATGTTAACTAGACCTGATTATTGAAAAAGCCGGTCTTTGCACACCCTATTTAAGGGCGTAATATTTCCAAATTTCGTATGAAGTCGTGAATCATTTCTGTGTAACACATGCAGAAGCCAAACTTGATTTCAAATCTAGAATATTCTGTGTACTCATGTATTAGAAAGCATTTCGTTACTTTATCAAAGATAATACTGTGATGCAAACATTAGTATTATATATTCGATTATAAGAAAATAGAAAATATTACAGTACGACAATGTATATTGGGATTTTGAGATAATAAAAAAGAGTATACTTTTTTATTTAGAAATTGCGAACTAGCGAAAGTAAACGTCGTCTATGTTAAGTCTTGAATAGTAAAATTTATGCACTCTTTACAGCTGCTCTCATAAATTTTGGGACATCTGGTAAAAAATTGACCGAATGATTTTATGCCGATTCGATAAGTTTA